ATGAGAGGGTAAATTTTGGGGTACAACAACCACACTGGGTGGCCTCAGCGTGCTAAGCGGGCTATGCTTATTTTACACATTAAACCGACCTAAACCGCGCTATCTGTGCTAAGTAGGATTCAAAACTTTGGTTCTGCCAAAACAGTAAATGCAAGTAGCACACTACAAAATGCGTTGAGTGCCACTCACGCTTAGCGGCCTCTGCGCGCTAAGCGGGCTCTCCTGGACAACAAGTCCTAAAACTGGTCTTTTATTCCAAAAACGCGCATTCGGAGCCGTGCCTTCGACACTTTATTCCTTAATGCTCCAAAATGCAATAAGTACCTACAAAATGAATAGAAAAACACCAAAGGATACAGTATATACACAAAAACACAAATAAACACAAACTAAATATATTTACACAAAAATTAGGTTTATTCAATGATATTACAAACAAAGAGTCGATAAGTGCAACAAAAAATATATACAAAAATAACTACAATTTGCACTTATCAGTAACCACATGTTTTCTTCTAAAGTGTATGTTCAGAACTTGATGATGTCACACGCCCTATACCAAAGTCAGAATATTATAACAGCAACTACACATTAGACAAAACCATTAGTGTATATAATTGTTCTCTAAGATAACATGTAAAGTTATCATCAAAATCTCAAGGCCGGATGTAGAAACACTTCCTGTTCTTACACAAAAGACTTGTGATTTGACTTCTAGAAAGAAATAAAACAACCATCTATGAAGATAATATCGCATGCATTGCTCAACTAAAAGATGGTTTCATTAAAGGATATCGAACAAAACACATTTCTCTAAATTTCTTTTTCACTCATGATCTTCAACAAAATGGTGATTTAAGCTCCAACAAACTTGTTCATCTTGTAGACCTTTTAGTGCAAAAGACTGGCCTTCATCATAGAAGAAATGATTGTTCAGCTGAGGGGGAGAGCTGAATTCGTTCAGCTGAGAGGGAGAAATGAATTTTTCTTAAAAGGATATGTACTCTTTTTCTTTCACTAGATTTTTCCCACTGGATTTTTTCTAGTAAGGTTTTAACGAGGCATGTCCTGAACAAACGTCCGAGGAGGATTGCCATGAATAATGGGTGACTGTCTCCCTATAATTTTATTTCTTATTTGCAATAATATGTATTGATTAGTAACGAGGTAGTTTCCTTACAAAGAATGTTGTACTCTTTTCCTTCTCTAGAATTTTTCTCACTGGGTTTTTTCTAATAAGGTGTTAACGAGGCATATTCTTTATGGATATCCAAGGGGGAGTGTTATAAATGGCATGTTAGTTGTGTTGAATTATGTTTAAGACCAATTTTTTCATGTTGAATCCTGGTATAGTATTCCATGTTATGCGCTTGGACAATTAAAAATATGTAGTAATGGAGTATTTATTGGTATAAATTAAATAAAAAGCTTGTGAAATAAAATTGAGATTGGTAATTTATATTACTGTCAAAAATTGAAACATTGCTTAATACATTCAATTGATTAAAAATTTAAGCGGTTAATAGATAACCGTCTAAAACGATGTTTCAAAGAAAAATTGATTCAAGGTCTTGCATGTAACAATTGTAATGAATCATTCTTATTAACTGTTGCTTGTTGCATGACAATTGAACATTCTCCTGATCCTCTATGTATTAGCCAAAGAGCGCTTCGACGAAGTCGAGCCTGCATTCTCACAAGCAGAATCATAATCTGTAGTTGTGGACAATTGAACTTCAACTTTATACAACACTCAAAACAAAATAAATGATAGGTACAACATCTATGAACGTTATGCAAATTTCACTTGCATATTAGAGTTATACAACGTTATCCATACAGTTTGTCGCATGTCCATTCAACATTATACAACCTTCAAAATATAATGAACAACAACTACATAATATATGAAATGTTATACAAATTTCAACTACAACTTAGAATTATATCACTTTTCCATACATTCAGTTGTATGTCCATTGAACATTATACAAGATTCAAAACAAAACGAACATCTATGATACATGAACATGCCATGGAACACCACTAAACTCGTACAATGTTTAACACATATACAACAAAATGGATGATCATTGAGAAAAAAATACGTAACACCATTCAAGAATAAAATTTAGGTTAAAATCGAAAAACATCAAAGTGACTCACCGATGGCATAAAGTCATGACGGCAGAAGAAATGGATGAGGGAGTTCTTGAATGAAAGAGGTGGAAGAGATGAACATGGAATTGATTATTTGAAATATAATATAGAGAATTTAGATTTAAATAGTATGTTCAATGGCTACAACTCTCAATGTGACATTTCATTCCTCGATGCATTGAGGAGGGTGAAAGTTCATTGAAGGAAGACAAATGCATTTGAAATTTAATAGTGATTTGCCTTCCCATTTTTTGCATGCGTAGTTTAGTGTGTAAAAAAATTCAAAAGCATAACAAAATGACACATCAGCAGAAATAAATAATGGGTTTCTCTCAATCAACCATAGCATACAAAGTCAAAAGGGTTAAATATGTTTTTAGCCCCTATAAATTGTCAAATTTTATTTTTGGTCCCTATACAAAATATGGTTTATTTTAGTCCATACAAAATTATTATGCACGTAGTTTTAGTCTCTGCTATTAAACTGATGTGTATTTGTGAATTATTATTTTGCAAATATGTTCAGAACATTATAAAAAGTTTGTTGAAAAAAAAAAGAATTTAAAATTTTGATTTCTAAGTTGAGATTTTCATTACTTTCATCAATATCTTTTGAGATTTAAAAAATTTATATTTAATTCATCTCATTTAAAAAAATTTAAAATTTGGTAAAGAAACATCTTATAGTATTTTAAACAAGTATGAAAAAAATTATTCAAAAATTTAAAAGTATAAGGGTAATTAAACAATTTTCAAAATTTTAGAAAAAAACAAGGACTAAAACTACATGAATAAAAAGTTTATAAAACCAAAATATGTTATTTTTTTAATAAAAATTAAAAATGAAATTTGAGATATTTATAGAAACCAAAAAACATATTTAACTCAAGTTAAAAATATTCCTGAAATTAAATAAAATTAAATTTAGATTAAGAGGGATTTAATTGTGAATTCCAACATGTATTGTTTTATTAGAAAAATAATGTAGTCATTGTTCATTTTTTGTATTTTCTAAATCTAAATCTTAAATTATTGTTTGGAATCTTTCAATGGTTAGATATTTTTCTACTTTGTTTTTTTGTAGACTGTATTTAATGGGGACGTTAAAAAAATTATTCAATAGTTGAATATGTGTAATGGGGTATTGATTAAAGAGTTGAAAGTAATGTGAGTTAATTGATGTTGAAAATATTCAACATGTTAAATGATGAGGGAGTGAGATCACATATAATACTTTGCAAAATCTTATTGGTTGTTGTGATTGTTTAGATCTTGGCAAAATACCATTTTTTGTTTTGTATGTTAACATCAAGGTTATTTTGGTCCATTAACTTAAAAAATATTCATATTGGTCTCTTAACTCTTCAAAATGCTTCATTTTAGTCTTTCTGTCTAATTAGCGACGAATTTAGCAACCGATTTCTAAGTTTTCCCATCGCTAATTAGATAAAAAGAACTAAATGAAGCGTTTTGAAGAGTTAAGGAATCAATATGAATCTTTTTTAATTTAAGAGACCAAAATGAACCTTGACGTTAACATAGGAGACCAAAAAATATATTTTTCCTTAGATTTTTAATTCGCCTCAATTATTTGGAATCAATTATTTTATAATAAATCAATTATTTATTTATTTTTATTTTCATCAAAATTCATCATTTTTTTTCTATAAATAGAGATTTGGTTCATTTGACTTGGACACACAAAAAAATTCACATTTTCTTTCTATTTTTTCTATTTAGCCTCCAATAAAATCTTGTTTTATCAACTTTTATTTATTTTAATATTGACTACCCTATAAAATTAGAAAAAATTCAAATAAATTAAGAATATAAAATTAGAAAAATTAAATAAATTATTAAATTAGAAAAATAAATAAATTATTCAACTATTAATTATTTTAATTTTATTTTAATCGATAATTGATATTAATATAAAATCATAAAAACAAAAATATAAGAGAAAATAAAAATATGAAATAAAAGTTGTGAGATAGGGTGTTGAATTTTATTAAACAAAACTATTGTAATAAGTAAAAGTTGAATGAGTGTTGAGTTATTAGATGAAAGAAAGAGAAAATGATGTGAAGTATAAAAAGTGAAAAAGAAGAGTGTTGAATATGTAAATCATTTTACATAGTCTTAAAGTGATAAGAAATAGGCATTGACAACGAGGCGGATCGAGAAAGGTTTATACCTCCCCCAAACTGAAACCCGAATCTCTAATCAATCCCCGTTCCCCACCCCAAATCCAAACGGAGATGGGAATTAAAATCCAAACATGTTCTAAACGAGTTCGGGTTGGATTCAGATATCTCCGCTCTGCCACAATCCATTTAATAAAATCAATTTTTTAATAAAAATATTTATCTTTTTAAAATCAAATTATATTATAAATAATAAAATAAAACAATCTCAAAAAATTTCATACATATATTTTAAATAATAAATATAAATTAAATTATCAAAACATTTATTACATATTTAATATTCTAACTAAAATGGATTAAGTGGATATTCACAAATATGAATTTTGTTGTCTTGCTTAAGAAGAAGTGTAGAAGTTTCTTCTCTTTATATATGTTAACTCAAAATCCATTATTGTCCCCACTGGAAAGAAGTTTCGCGAAAGAAAACGACGCGACCTAAACTTCTAGTTTCTTCTTCTTCTTCCATTAATATTTATATTTATTAGTATCTCCATTTCAATATTCTTTCTCTTTCATCCATTATTTTTTTAGTTATTCTCTTATGCACCTCCTCTCGAACATTCTAGAACTATCACGATATTAATTCCTTCTCTCCTGCTAGATTCTTCTCCATGGCTCCATTGGCGGAACACAATGGCGACACCTCAACCGGAGAGTCTCAAAGATCAACTCCGATACCGTTTATCACCAAAACATACCAGATCGTTGATGACCGAACCATCGACGACGGCGTTTCATGAAACGAAACTGGAACATCGTTCGTCGTTTGGAACCCTACCGTTTTCGCGAGGGATTTGCTTCCTAATTATTTCAAGCACAATAACTTCTCCAGCTTCGTTCGACAACTCAATACATATGTAAATCTTCTATCATCATTCACCATAGTTAACTAATTATTTTCATTTTTAGATTTGAATTTTTTTTAATTTGTTTTTGTTTTTTTTTATGTTTAGGGATTTAAAAAGGTTGTGCCATATCGGTGGGAATTCTCTAACGAATTCTTTCGAAGAGGCCAGGAATATCTTCTATCCGATATTCAGCGACGAAAAATCGTTTGAAATCACAGTCGACAGCTACCAGTTCCGGTGTTACTGCGACAGTAGCAGTGTCGTATCCGTTCCAACCGGTTTCAATTCCGACAATAAAGCCGATCGTATCATCATCAACTTCGAGAGAGGAGCATGTGATTTCTTCAGATTAGTCGCTGTTTGAGCAGGCGGTGGTATTAGAAGAGAACGAGAGGCTTAGAAAGGAGAATATACAGTTAAGGACGGAAATAGAGGACATGAAATCCCTCTTCAATAATATATTCAATCTTATGTCTAATTATGCCAAATTTTAAGGAAAAGAGTGTTGCTCGACGGCAACAAAGTCCATTACTGTTACTACCACATAATTCCTATAAAAAAATTAAATTTAAAATTATTTTTTAAAACAATAACAAATATATATTTTTATTTTTCTTATTCAAATTATTCTTACTGGATAACTCATTATATGTTGCTGAAAAATATGATGGCCTGTGATGTTTTATTTTTTGGTCAAAATACTGGACTTGAATAGATTTGCCCTTATGTGTTTTTTAGGACAAAATTTAGATGTAAGTTAAATTATATGTTATTTAAAATTAGACTTCACACATCAAAACAAAACTTGAAAGCCATTATGTTAACTTACTAGTCATAATTCATAACTCGAATATATAACTCATAATTTAAATATTCATTCAAGTTAAATTAAACAATCACACATTCCATATAATTGTATTAGGGTAACTATCATGTTTCAGAGGCTTAGAATTTTGAATTAAACACCTTCATGATTTCATGAGATCTAAAAGCAATATAACCACCACAAAGTTATATTATTAAAGATCCCATAAAGAACAATTCACACATATTCATTATTTATAGATAATAAAGATCTCATGAAGAACAATTCATCCATTCATAAATAATAATTACTTTTAACACTTTATTTAGATACTCTCAAGGAGAGTCTGAGGGAGAATTTAACCACTTTAATTGTTATCTATAATTTTTTTTACTATCTTCTTGAGAGGGAAGGATGAAAACCTATATATTCGTAGGTGTAAAATTGATGGTCCTACTTATAATTCATAGAAGTATTTTGATGACTACAACATTAATAATTATTGAAGTTGGAAGTAACATCTTTTCAACTTCTTTGATATGGTGATTATCTTGAAGATACCTCAAGCCTCATCAAGATGGAGATTGAAGGTTCAGTTGAAGTGTTTATATGATCGGTGTATCAGATAAAGGATTTTGAAAGTTTAAGAGTTGTGAAAGCTCGATTGATCGTGTCTGTCTCAGTGACTATTATTTTGTGAAAGTAGAAGAATAACTTCAAAGATACTAAAACAACTTTCACACTCAGAGGCTCACTTAAAAGATCTTTTGAAACATCTTTTTAACCAACAAAACACTTAAAATGTCTTTAAGCTTTAGCCAATTGATTAAGAAACTGTCTACTTTATTATAGCAACTTTTGAACTATTAAAACAATTAGATCTTAAAGCTAATCAATTAGAAGAAGCAAAATAAATTATATATGATTATGATAGCGTTCTAATGATTAATAATAGTTCTCTATAAAAAAAATTAAAAATAGGATCAAACAATTGATTATTTAAGGCATCTAATTGATTAAGATTAAGACCTAATCGATTAGATCAATAATTTGGTTGATTATTTTTAGCCAATTCTTCTCCTATATAAAGGAGACACATATCCTCTTCATTTCACACTTGAATTCTGAATTTCTCTATTTTTTTAGAATTTATCTCTCGTCTCTCTCTCTAAATTATTATTTTTCATCAAAGTTGCCTTAATGTGTTGTGAGTGAAAAATACATGTGATAAAGAATTTGTACTGGTGTCATGACATTATTACTACTCACAAGTGTGAGATATTCTTGAGAAATTGAGTTTGGTTCTTGAAATTAACAAGTCTTAAAAGTCCGATTTGGTTCTAGAACTTAGCATGGAAAATTTATGTTTAGTTATTGAGATTAGCATAGAAAATATCTAATTTGTTCGTTAGCTCAGCCTAAAAAAAAGATTTCTTTTTGGTTAGGGGTAAGCCATTGTAAAATCTCTAGATCTACTTGTATCAAACGTTCGTGGACATAACTTGTAAAAGCTCATGTTTATAGTCAAAATCTAAAGAAGATCTCTTGAGGACAAGAGTAGGTCAACGTTATGCAGAACCTTGATAAATCACTTGTGTCATCTCTCTAAACTATTATCTCTTACTTTATACTATTTATTTTATTGTTTTTTATTTTCCACTATTTGTTTTACTCTGATCTTAAAAAAAATACTAACATAATTCCCTTTTTAAGCAACAAAACCGTAAATTTAATCACGAATTTTAATTACCATAATTTCCCCCTTGTTCTTTAAGTCATTTACCCAACCATCAGTAGTGTAATGTGAGAATTGGGTACCTCATCGGTTAACTCTATGTCTTAAAATGAAATTGGGGGCTGAAACTTCATAATTGGTTTTATCAAGTTTCTTCTCTTCTAATATCATCTACCTTGGATTCCTCATAACTAAATTGGAGGAGCCCTCTCTCCTTAGAGTGGGGGAAACCTCTTGAAACCACTTATAAAGTTCTCAATGAGCTTCATTCTTGTGATGTTATGTTATGTTAGACGTCATCCTTTTGCAATATGTTGTTCCCTTATGATATTCATGAGAATAAGAAGTCTCTCTCATTTGTTGAAAGTATCCTCAATTACGACATATTCTATTGAAATTTTCTTCTCTTTCTCTTCATAGGGTTGTTTCTCTTTCTTGGTTATTCAGACCACTTCACCTCTCTTCATATGTGGGCTTCCATCTCATGACCTTATTTCTTTGGACCAGCCTTTTTCCTGGTTAGATAACCTTGTCAGTCTTCCTTTATGGATCAAATCTTTTATAATTTCTTTCATTTGCACACATTCCTCGGTATTGAGGTGTGTTACTATGGTGGAAGAAACAACATTAAGATTTTTTCAATATCGGGGCATTCTCGAATCTATTTTAGAGTTTCTACTTGTTCCTCCCAAAACTATGCATTGATGCATTCTTGCAAAATGAGATCCCTTAAAGTATTCAAAGGTGGGTACAACTAGTATTTTGATGGGGGTAAGCCTATAATCTCTTGGCTCGAGCGAGAGTTCTTATTTCCTTTGTTCCTCATCTCCATATTCTAGCTTGGTACTTTGACTATTGTTTTGCCTACCTCACTTTTGTCTAAATTTAATCCATAGATTTCTGAACTTATGGCTAGTCTTTCCCCATAGTGTATGTATATTTTAGCTTTTTCTAGCATGCTTTGAAAGATTTTGGGGGCTCTGAATCTGATGCAATCTGTGAACTTGGACTCCGGTTGGGTTTCAAGGCTTAAGAAATACCTCTTCATTTCTTTGTCAATGTTTTTTACTAGAATGACCTCTTGTTGAACCTTTCAATGTAAGACCATAAGGATTAGCCATGTTCATTCCTAATTGAGCCTTGGTTTTCCATCGAATTTGGTTTCCTTCGAGGTGTTGTGAGAAGAGTGATGAACCACATTTGAAGTTTTCCTTATGAGCAATTCACCCATTTCCATGTACCTTGAACTAAGATATGACCTCAAATTTAAGAGTGACAACGAATAGCTTTCACTTTTCAAGGCCTTTGGCTCCTCTAAAATTTAGGAGAAATGCAACAAATTCCATGTGTTCATTGGGGTTAATTGTTCCATTGTAGATGACATTGCTCTTCCTCCAATGGTTTTTCATAGTCTAACTTTTGTTGCTCGTAAATTTAGTCTTTTAATTTGTGTGGTGGATGGTTGTTCGACGAGGGTTGGTCGTGGTTTAGTATTTTAGGGTCCTTGATAAGATGAGGAAGATGATACATATATCACATTCTGTGATTTTTCAAAAAGTGATATTTAATTTGTTGTTTTTAAAATTATTTGTATAAAATTAATTAATTTGTTTTTAATTTTAATTTTAAATTTTAATGTGATATGGATTGATTTACTTACATAGATCCACATAAATCATGTCACGTCACTCTGTCATGTATTAAATGAATATGTTATATACTCGCTAAAAGTATAATACATGACAACTCCTTTTGATGTAAGGTTGGCATAGGTTATTGAGGGGTTTTATGGTGTTAGAGCGTACTTACATGGGGATAGTAAGAAGCTCTTTATATTGGTATTTTTTAGTTGAATTCAATGTCCCTCTCAACTTCAGGGTTGAGGTATTATATGAATATCTTTTCTCTGAACCTTATATTTCAATAAAGAAATACCCACTCTCAAGAGCATGGGAAGTGGGTAGTTATCTCCCTTATTATTCTTGAGAATGTGGCTTCCCCCTTTCTGAATTTCACTTCATACCAATAGGATAGGGACACATCAATCCCAATTTTTCAAATAGAGACGACTTATATAGAAAATGGGCGCCATGACCAAATGATAGATACTCATTCCAATAAATAGGCGACCTGGGAGCTCTCGCAAGGGAGACATACCGTATAACCAATCCTGAGGGAGTTTTATTTCCCCCTCTTGTGGGACCTTTGCACTTATATCGATACACAGTCCCTCAAGTACGAGGGAATATAAAAAGATAAGTGATTTAGTCTCCTACCCCTCTGCGAAGTTCTAATTTGAGTTCCTCATGTTAGATTTTAAGTTGAGTCCCTTCAACAAAACTTTAAGTTGAGTCCCCAAGGATTGACTTTAAGTTGAGTATTCCATGCAAGATTTTAATTTCAGTCCCTCAAACAAGGATTTAGGTTGAGTCACCCAGGCGAGACTTTAAGTTTAGTCCTCCAAGCGAGACTTTCAGTTGAGTCCCCCGTGCGAGACTTAAGTTGAGTCCCTCAGGTGATACTTTAAGTTGAGTCCTTCATAAGAGACTTTAAGTTGAATCCCTCAGGTGATATTTTATGTGGAGTCCCACATGAGATACTTTATGTTGAGTCACTAAAGTGAGACTTTAAGTTCAGTCCCTTGTGAGAGACTTTAGGTTGAGTCCCTCGGGAAAAATTTGAAGTTTAGTTCTCAAGCGAGACTTCAAGTTGAGTTCCTCAAGAAAGATTTTAAGTTGAGTCCATGGGAGAAGACTTGAAGTTAAGGTATTTCTTTTTATTCTGCAAGGATCTTACCATGGAAGTCCATTATTTATATTTCCCC